TCTGCGCCATACCTCCCGGGTTCCAATGGAAGGCTGTGAAACGGGGATGCCTTGTAGCAGCATGCAAAAACTGTGGTTTCAGCTTGGGCTGTACATCAAATTCTGCTGTGATACGTTGCACCAATGATGAAGGAAAATCTTGAGGACCGAAAGTGCGCCCTTTATATTGGGTGGTTCCATACAGCACCGCATGTTTGCAAGCTCTACGGTAACTGCGTTTCTGCACAGCTGAACTGGGTAGGGAGTGCTGTCTGGAGCCGTAGCTCAATGGTGGCGGTTGTCCGCATTTTGCAGGATTGTTACAAAATTCCTGAACCCATGAGTCTGCTTCAGCAACCGTAGTGGATCGGTTGCAACCCTCACCCTGATGGCCAGTGATTTCAAAACCTGGAAAGTCATGCAATGTCTGTTGTCTTCTGGTGCCGCATCGATGCATGTCACCAATCAGCATGGCCACCCCCGGATTTGGGACCGGGTTACAGTCACAAATGTTGTGTCGAGTGAAAAAGCTCCAAATGGCAAGGAAAAGAATGATAGACATCGATGGAAAAATCCTGTTGTATTGAATCAGTGTCCGCAATCAAGGGCTACGTTGGCCAGCAGGAAAGCGTACACTGCACTGAACCTGAAGAATACCAAAGGGGTCTATCAGAACGCGAGAGCCCCACCCGCCAAACCTTCTTGGCTGATAAAAAGGGTGCCACCCCTGTCTGCAGTGAGTGGAAGCCACTCCACCAGTTAGGCCAGTTCGATATGGCTGGATCGAATCAACGACGGGGGGCCTCTCCTATCCCTGTGATTCCTCACCACTCGGGGCAGTGCATTGACTGCAAAGGGCTTGTGTGTGTGTGTGCGTGTGCGTGTGCGGAACCCTGTTAGCCAAGGGAATGCATGTCCTGTTCTTACCTTTCCTTGTTCCCTCTTTCACCTCTGGTTTCATGTCTTCATCATCCATTTCGCGCAAAGAAACAAAGAGAGACAAGAGAAGCAGTCGGTGCCCACTCTGCTGGGCTTGGGCATCCTGATGAGGAAACCCAGCAGAGCATCCGAAACTGCAAAGAGACAGAGACAGATTTCTTTCATTTTCATCCCTGCGTCAGTTTAACTGGCCAGCGCGACAAAACTCCGGCTATGCATAAAGAACTCCAAAAGATCTGCGATTGGATCAGGATGTTCGCATAAGACTGGGGGCCGCTCAGCGGTAACACTACAAGTGTGTCAGATGCGGGCCGTTTTCGCTCCGTCGAGTCGGCTACTGAACTCTCCCCAAAGTCTGCAAGGGAGGGCGACGAGGTGGAGCTTTATGCTCAAGTAGTTTGGGATTTATCCCACCTTGGCCATTGTGCCGGTTTAGAGAAGGCTTGCCCTCTCAAGTTCAACAGTTTTGGATAGTGTGCAAAACGCTCTCCTCCCAAATTCCAAGTTTTGGGGTTTTTTCCCCTCCAACTTTACCAGTTTAAGCGCAAGCGCCGCTGTCTATGAGATTTTTCTGTTAACTTTTCGAGCATGGCTCAGATTTATTCCAGCTCGTTTCTCTACTACCCCAGTGTGTGAACATCCTTTGGTTTCCAACTGGTTTCTGAAAAGCTTGATTCATCTCGCTTTTCTCCTGGTTTACCTTCAAGGTCGAGGACTAGGCACGCAGTCATTTCTCATCATCTTCACTTTCATCATTCAGCACCATCTTCTTCCCTCCTCCTCTTTCCCTCGGTATGTTTGTTCTGATGCATGTGTGTGTGTGTTAACGTCTGTTTGTTTTTGTTTATGTTTGTGTATGTGGGATGCTTTGGTCGCAGCGGTGTGGATTGTTTTTGCTTGTTTGGAGGGCAACCAACCAGCGTCGGTGACACACACATGAATCTTGGCAATTTCCTTTCTACTCGATCCTGGATTTTTGTGTTTCTTTCCAAACCTGGTATTTGAATGCACCTTTTGCTTTCGGAACGACACTGTTGTAAGAGTGCTTGCACGAGCACAGTTAGAAACGAGAATGCAAGCGAGATCGAGCTATTTTTCTCCATTTGCTGTGCCGTTTCAGCATTCTCAGACCATTTGTTGGCATATTTCATGCTTCCAACCACAGTGAATTTCCCAAGTTAAATGTTCACACCTCACAACCGTTCATACGTCCCCTGGTTCCAATTTTTATGGCCTTCCACTGTTTTCCATTTTGGTTTGGGGTTTCAACATTTTTTGGTGCCACCACAAACGCCGCCCCAGTTACTTTTACTTTTACTTTGGAGACTAGTGCCCCGGTGACGTCTAGGAGTTGTCCGGAATTTTTGAAGGGCTTATGTGTTTGTTTGTGGGGTTGTTAGGTTGTTTCGTTTTTTAAACTCAGTTGTTCAGGCTTTTCGGGAAGTTACGTTAATCTGTTGAAAAGTGGAACAGTTTCTTTAATGTGTGAGCTCACATTATTGTTTAACCTATCCGGCCAGCAATGTCGTTCACTATCTTCACTCCGAAGCTGCTACCGTTGAACCAGCGGGCTATGTCAACGCAATCGGCAGCAACATCGAGTACCTCTCGGGCATTAGTTGCGAACGCGCTACATCAAGATCTACATCCTCTCAACAACTTACCGCGAGCATTCGTTTACCCACCAAGCCCGTTGCCACCTCCACCAGCTCCAGGACAAACCAAGCAAACACACTTGCCAGCCCAGCCTATTCTGCAACCTTTTGATCCCGGGCCCAACTACAAACCAGCAGCAACACCAACCATTTCTTTTTTACAGCAAGTGAAGCAAAAACTCCAGCCACCACCAGCACCTACATTACCATTGACACGTGACCAAGCACAAAGTTTTCAACTGGGATCAAAATCTGCATCACTACCACCACCGCGACAGCAACACCCACAACCACAACGAAGCAGAAGCCCTCGGCAAACGATGTCACCCAGCACTTTTACCACCCTTTTGCATTCAAACATACCGCAGACACCTCCGAACACCAAAACAATTACAATTGCAGATAAGCTTGACGGGCTTTTTCCCAAGCAATTTGAGATTGACAAGAAGAATTTTCATGAAGTCGCTTCAATTTTGGCAAAAAGTAGACTGGCACCACAAGATTTGCAACACAGTTTGCTCCTACACTTTGAACCACAAGAAGGTGAACATTTGAAACCATGCAATTTTGCTTTGGTTTTATTCAAAGCTTTCAACACAAAACAGCCACCTTTGACCAGCAGACGAAATCGACTACTCTTTTTTGGTCACGCAACAAGGGAAGAAAATGCCGTGTCTATTCTCAACGAAGGAAAAATTCGAGAAAGTATCAAGGACAACCCGCGAAGCCAAGCGTTTTGCTGCCAGGGCAACGAAGTTTATTCTGCAGAACCCAATATGTGGGGTGAAGACTTTGAAGAGCTCCCCGGCATCGCTCGCACAGTGGCAAAAACTACCGCTTTAGCCAAGCACCAGACTTCATTTGTGATAGTAGGGTTGGCGTGGGGATCACTACAGAAGAATTGTTCTGGAGGAATTCGAACAACGTTGGACCTAGCTACGTTTGGTGGGGCACTAGATGCACAAGGTGACCAAGGACACGTTCATGACCTAGCTAGTGAATTTCCAGGAGATGTAGTTCGTGACCATAACAACAAATGTTACTGCTGCCACACGAAAAGACATTGCATTTTGGGCATCGCATTCCCAGTGACCTTTGGCCGTTTTTTGAAATGAAGCAATTGTACAGCACTCTAAGATTTCAAAGCGGGGCAAACTGCCTTGCCAACCAAAAACATTGCTATGATTCAATTCCAGCCCGGCATCCCCAGCAAAAAAATGGACGTTGTGACGATTTGCGTTTTCCTGTTTCCGAACTAGACCTTGGCAGTTACGTCAGGCACACGAACCATGTCATCACCCTGTTTAATGTTTCCATTTCCAGTTTGTTCGCACCCCCTGGGCACTTGGCTGTTTGTCTGTTGATGTGTTGAAGTCGCGGTTTAGTGCCTGCAGTCCTTGAGACCGACTGTGTACCATGGAAAATGCATCATTGGGCGGATGTCTCTGACATGCTGTCAACGTTTTTTTTGGCGGAACCACCAAACCATTGGTTTTTTCTTTCTATTGCCCCCAACAGGTCACCGTTTGCCGTCTTTGGTTTCTTCTTTTTGTTTTTCCTTTTTTCTGTGTTTTTTCTTTTTATTTTTGTTTGGGCATTTCTTGGTTGCTTGGAAGTAGATCCAAATTGATTTGCAATGATACTCTATCTGCGGCGGTGCCACGCGGATTCCCCGCGCTCGAGAACCGACGTCGTATTTTTTGGGGGGTTGTTTCCAACCATTTCCCACCCAGCTTTCCTTGGGTTTACTGGTTTACCTGGTCGACGAGTTCGTTCGCATAATTGCGGGCTTTGCCTTTCCGCATTCTCGCCACGTAATCCAACGCCCCGAAACTTTGACTCGCGGTTTGTTTTTTTGGGGGGTCTTTGATTTTTAAGTATATTGACTTGAGAACAAGGGATAGGGTCGAGAGACACGACTGGCAGCATTGCAGCTTGGTTTTGCAGACGTACAAATTTGCAGCTTGACAGTGTGACCGTGCAGCTTTGTCTTGCAGTTTTGCAGTTTTCTCTTGCAAACTTGCAGATTTGCAGCTTAACGTTGCGACCGTGCAGCTTTGTCTTGCAGTTTTGCAGTTTTGTCTTCAGCTTTGCAGCTTAATGTGACAGCAATGCAGCTTTGTCTTGCAGCTTTGCAGCTTTGCCTTGCAGCTTAACAACTGTATCCGACTGTGATCATGCACCTTGATAAGTATGAGACTCACGGCATCGCTAGCAGCTTTGTCGCCTTCCATCATGTGACGTTAGTTTCACCTTCCAGCAAGGGCACTACAGAATATAAACGTTGAACTTACTTTGTGAAAAAGGTTTCACAAGCCACAAGCCCATTCAAATTTTGAGCCAGCAGCAGTCATTTTTGCGACTCTGATGTAGCCCCTTTTTTGTCAGACCTGCGTTTCGATCTGCAGTGCAAACCGTGCCTCATCAATGGCGTGGAACAAGTCCGGCTCTTCTTGGCCCAATTGGAACCCAAACAATTCCTGGGGATCATGGTCAGACAGCCACAAGAACTCATGGGATCAGAGCCAGCCAGAGTCAAAGTGGGATCAGACCAAGCCATCCGCCAGCATCACCCAGACTCCGGTTCCTTCAGACTTTCAGGCTGATGAGGAGTTCTTAGACAACCGTGAGAAATATGGGTACAAACTCCACCGCAAAGTTCAACCCACCAATTGGTCCCGAAAGCGGCAACTAGCGGGCCGCCCGGTGGAAGACATAAGCATCGTGGACATCACCAAGAACGGCTGGGAAGAACATGCGCTTCGAGTTTTGTCTCAAGGGTCCTTTGTCACGCCAGTGTGGGCCCGATCCACATCAGAAGCAGTGTTCGCTGCAGGGTTGTTCAAGAAGATCAGGGAAAAGAAATACAATATTGATGCCATTGCTGAACGCATTTGGGCTGACAGCAACACACCACCCCCCAGCAAACATGAACATGCCATCGACTTCATGACACCGCTTGTGGACAAAATCATGAGTCTTTTGGATGAGCTCCACCCGGTCGCCCAAGATTGCACCGCCTTGAAGAAAATCCAAAGCTTAGAGGCAGAGAATGCTCGGTTCCGAGCCAAAGGAGTCGTTTTGACTCCGGAGAAGCATACCACCACAGGGGAGAAACCAGGAGAAGCGAATTCAGAACCAGGCTCATCACTGCATCCCGCAAAGAAACGCAAGGTCCAACTGCTTGAGGTTGATGCTATCCACCACCCCAAGCAAGCTCTTGAGGACCCTCCTTCAGCCACCACCGACAAAGCCATGCAACAATGGCTTGAAAACATCAAGAAGCACATGGACAAGGAGAAGGCTTCCCAGCTCGACAAGTACGTCAAGCAAGTTGTGGAACACCACAAAGGGCTCAAAAGCAAAGACCTGGGCGACCTCCGTGCCTTGGCTATCAAATGGGGGCTTCCCTACAACTTGGCAGAGAAGGCCAGCAACAAATCGTTGTCTCAGATCGTTGCAGCGGCGGCACTGCAGGCTGCCTGACTAGTGACAGAAACAATGAACTGCCATAGCAATGGCTGTGTACAGCAAAGCCAGCTTTTCACCCACCTTTTTAAACTTTTGCAGGCGCTCAACTTCTTTGTTTATCATGTTCCGTTTGTTGACAAGCAAATAGCACTTTGGGCACAAGGTTTAGTGCATCTCACACTGATTTGGCATCATGGAGAGCACACCTTTTCAGGCAAAGAACTCAAAGCGAAATTCAAAAACATTTCCCTCCACCCAAGCAAATACACCTTTTCGTTTTTCTCTCACAGCAACATCACATACGTGCGGCTGCCAATTTCTTTTCCACAGCACCAACAAATGCAACCTCGGCATTTCAAGGTTGACAGCAAGCACATTTACATTGGCAGCACTAAGGAAGGACTTCCTAAAAGAGAATGGAACAGGATTAGCAAGTACAAACAAGTCACACAAGAGCAACTTGTGCATGTTGAGCCAGCGATCCGCTATTGGGCAAGAAACAACACTTTTTACCAACACACTGTTTTAGTACTTTCCGCACATGACACATACCAGCAAGCCTGGTGCTTTGAGCACCTCCTCATACAACGCTGGCAGCCACATCTGAACTACCCACATATTCTTCGCCACTTTCGACGAAAATCCAATAGTTTTGTTCGATTAGCAGTGCAGCACAGAAGCAGTGTACTCCATACCGGAGTACGACTCTGGAGAAAGCTTCGCAAACACACGTTTTGCTCAGTTGCAATGTTTCAACAGCACACCATGGAGAGACTTCAAGCCTGGGATCTTCTCTACAGGTTGGCAGAGAACTCCAAGAGATCCTTTGAAGCGTGCAGATACCTTCGCAGCGGGGCAGTTTTGGATGCGGAAATCTATGCCATCTACAGGCTCACAAACGTCATCGAACAACCCCAGAGAAGCAAACTCCAAGGCTTGTTCCACAAAGTCATGCAGTTTCGCAACATGACTCGTCCAAGATCCAGCCAGCCAATTAGGTTGCCATTCCTTGCCCACCCAGAATATCGGTCTCGGATGGCGGCTTGGTTACGAAAGTTTGTCCTGGAACACAAGGAGATTGCTGTTCCATTTCACCTTCCATCAGCCAAAGTACAAGAAGCTGCAAACCCATCGCTCAGCACTGCACTATGGAACTGGAGGCAAGCGGCTGAACATTGGACACCGCAGACAGATTTTCGGGACCTTTCATGCTCATGCGACAGCATGCTCAAAAAGCACCCGTTGCTGGAAACACTCGATGGGCACATTGCTTCAGGCATTGAACAATTGACATTCACCAGCACCAGACTACAAGCATTGTACCAATGGGCTAATGCGCAAGCAACTTTCTACCCACACACCAGCCAGGTATTGACCTGTTCAGCCCAGGCCCTTAAAAAATGGGCAGACAAACATGGGCTGCCCAGCCGACAACTTTTGAAACAATTTGAGCAATTCTTTGACTCCCAAATCTCCTCTCACAAGCAATTCCTGCGCAAAACGCCCAAATACACCGCTCACAACCTCCAGCAATTCAAAAAGCTCATTCCAAAGGACATGGTGGTCCACAACGAAGACCATGGGAATAGCCATCTCATGATCTACTGCCCCAAGATTTACCTTAAAGCTCTTCAAGCCACATGGAATGATGCCGCACTTTTCCAACCAATTCCCAACCAACCAGATGGGCCACAGTTCCAGTTGAACCAAGTGCCACAACAATTAAAAAGGCACTACAAGTGGGCATTCCGGCATCGCTGCGCAAGACCCGAGGAAAGCTTCAAAAGGACAGTGGGCACAAGCCAGTCAACAAACAGTACAAAATCCCAACAGGACAAGCGTTCCTGAAACGGAAGAAATCTTGGAAAAAGGGCCGTACAATTATTGGATACCACTGCAGTGTCCTCACCAAGCTGACGCACATCACTGCAGTAGCCCTAGCAGACATGCTGACCGAAGTGTGGCCTTCAACCTTGGGGACAACACCTACACCGGAACTATTCCAGAAGCTTCACAAGTTCTTCGATGAGACTTCCAGCGACATTGACCTCGTGATGTACAACGACGACTTGGTGGGCTTCTTCAACTCCATCCCTCAGGACAAAGTACTCTTCTTTGTTGACCACCTGATTAAGCACTACAAAGCAAAACACCCAGACATCCACACACTTTCAGTTAACACCCAAAGCTGCTGCAAACACAATCGCACCACCAGCGGCTCATTGTCCCAGCACCATCAGCACACACAGGTCAAATCTTTGCGCCTTGATGACATCCTTCCAATCGTCCAAACAACCTTTGACACCGCTGTCTTTTCCGCCCTTAACACAACTTGGCTCCAAGTTCAAGGGTCACCAATTGGCAGCAAAATTTCTCCAGCACTGTGCAGCATTTGCTTTGCAGGCCATGAGATGACATGGCGGCAAACTTACCACATTTGGAGGCAATCGCCAGGGTTGCACCTTCTCCTCATGCGGTATGTAGACAACAGGCTCACAATCGTTGACCAACAGCATTCTACAGATCACCCTTTGGCTGTTTGGCTCCACAAGTGGTTTTATGGCAGGCCTATCGAAGTTGAAGAAGTTGAGGACATCAACTTTTTAGGTTTTGACATTTACCCACACAAACGGCAAGTCAAATTTATTGATGTTGACAAGCCGTGGAAAGTCAGGAGTCCAGCCAATGCAGGAACAAACAACCTCACACTTTCAGGATTTCGCAGCAGAGCACACTTGATTGTCAACTATTCTTTTCCAAAGGAATTGATTCCAGGAAGTTTGAGCGCCCTTCTTGATTTGTATCACAAAGCTGGCTTTTCATTTTCCATTTTGCAAGACACTTTGCCAAAAACGGCATACCGGCATCTCCCAAGAAAAAAAGCCGCTGCCCGTCATAGCTACGGGCGTGTGTGTGTGTGTGCGGAACCCTGTTAGCCAAGGGAATGCATGTCCTGTTCTTACCTTTCCTTGTTCCCTCTTTCACCTCTGGTTTCATGTCATCATCATCCATTTCGCGCAAAGAAACAAAGAGAGACAAGAGAAGCAGTCATGTTTTTCTGCAAATTTCCTGGATCGGTGCCCACTCTGCTGGGCTTGGGCATCCTGATGAGGAAACCCAGCAGAGCATCCGAAACTGCAAAGAGACAGAGACAGATTTCTTTCATTTTCATCCCTGCGTCAGTTTAACTGGCCAGCGCGACAAAACTCCGGCTATGCATAAAGAACTCCAAAAGATCTGCGATTGGATCAGGATGTTCGCATAAGACTGGGGGCCGCTCAGCGGTAACACTACAAGTGTGTGTGTCTGTGCCTATGCTTTTACAGTACCTAATGTGTAGTAAGATAGCAGAAGTGAATCTCTTCTTTTTTAAGGCAGATCCTCTCTTGACATCACTGTAGATAATTGCCAATCCAGTTGCTTAATTGCATTGATTGGATTGGTGGTTTTTACATGCAGAACTGATGCTTGGACTTGACAACATCATGGGAGATGCAGCACTTGCACTTGTACAGGATGCATCAAGTGTTGAAACTTAACACCTCACAAGACTGCCTGGATTTCAACCTATAGCTGTCCAGCATACACCAACGTGATTGAAATCAGTCAGAAGGACCATCAAAAAGATCTGAGTAAAACAGAATATAATGTGAGCGCAGATCTCAATGGCTCTACTAAGTGTTGTCAATAAAGTGAAGGTTGCATCTAACTATCAGTAACCATGCAGGGGCATGCAGCACATGAGTCTCTCACGTGTAAAATGTTCAAATGCAAACCATGTAATTAATGCACAAATACCGTGTAAATAATGCATATGGGGTGTGTAAGGTCACTTTTGCCCACCAAAGCACAACCGGGAAAAGTCGATCCCACATGCAGCAGAGACCAGCTTCAACCCACATAGCACAACCATTCCATCTAGGGTTTCGAGACAGGAACCATTGGAAGAAATCCAAAGCCACCATTGTATGCATTGTATGCGTGCTACTCTTGTCAATAATAGCCACCTTGATAAATTGAAAGCGGCACTTGTACGTGTCCCTCTCCTAAGCCAACAGTGCAAGTCAACAAAGAGCGTAGAAATTGTATCAAACACAAACAATACAAAAAAGAAAAAGAACATATCTGCACATTACTCGTATCATACTTTCAGAATTAGACATGACTGTCATTAAGGAGACCCTTGCAGAATGATGTGTTATGCAATGTTCTATTGATTGTTGCGCTCACACCATTTGTGAGCTAATGTCCTTATCAAATAATGTGTTCAACTCAAAGTGAGGTAGCCTGTAGTTGCCTTAGAACGATCACAACATACCCCAGGTTTTACCTACATACAGCCATGGCCAGGAGTGGACCTACAGTACAAAATGAAACGGGCTTAGAGCTAAAGCGTATGCTGAAACATTCTTCTCAATCGGAAAATAGTGGAAATTACGCGTTTTCTGAAAGGTACTATCAGATTGTTTCTTCTAAAAAGGGTTGTCCTAGTTTGCTCTGGCGTTATCCTCCTCAGGCATATTGGCAAATAATCAATGGAAGTAAGTAATCAATTAATCATTGCACTGCCATCCTTTGTTCTAAACTTTGAAATACCATAGCACTACTACTGACTCTTTTGAAGTCAGGATTAAAATGACCATTCTTTAGACTTGGGCTGCAACTAGATACTCTAAACAGCTTAATGAGAGCATAGCGGCCACGCCGATGATGAAACCCAATAAAATAGCAGGCTGCTTCATTGGAATGACACCAGGTTAGCCGACAGGCTAGCAACCAAAGATAACATGTTGTTTTTAGTGAAAAAAATGTTTGTTAAGAAATGTTATTGCAGGAAATGAGTCAGTAATCTGATGCTAGTGAGCGTAAGTTCAGAAGTTGAAAGAGGCTCACGATAAAGATATTGAAACTGCATTTTTTCATTGAAGATTCGAAACTCTGAAAATGTTCAAATAAAGAGTTTGAAGCTACAGAACAATCCAAATGAAGATTTTCAGACTCCCGGAGGTTCCAAA